GGGTTTCTCTGGAACTTTACAGCTTATCTGGGAACTGTCTTTTGTAGACCAGGCTGGCCTTGAACTCACAGAGATTTGCCTGCTTCTGCCTCCCACGTGCTGGGTTTAAAGGACTGTGCCACCACTGCCTAGCTCCAATACTACTTTTAAAAAAATCTATTTTAATTTTTATGTACAGGTATGCCACATGTGTGTGGGTACCCTTAGAGACCAGAATAGGGTGCTGGAGAAGAAGATGGTGGATCCTCTTAAACTGAGCTGTTCTTGGTTGTGAGCTGTACCTGGACACAGCGAACTCAGATCCTCTAGAAAAACAGCAAGCTCCTTTTAACTATTTATTAAGCTATCTTTCCAGTCTCCCAAAAACTTTTTTAAATAAGAAATTTTAGATAAGACTAAGCAAAGTAATTGAAGAGTGTGAGTCTCTCTAAATGAAAGTTTCCCTAAGCAAGTCTTCTCCTAGCCTCTTCCTGATCTAAAAAGTAGAAATTGTAATCCTAATTTATTATGGGATTTAAATCCTCATGCATGGTAGATACAGTAAATATCAATACATGGGACACTTTCAGACTAGTCACTGTCAAGGAACATGGGTTATTAGGATTTAATTCTTAACTTTAAGTGACTTATAACTTGGTACAGAAAGAATAATAGAATGCAGCTAGGCATTGTGGCGCAAGCCTTTAATCCCAGCATTCGGGAGGCAGAGGCAGGTGGATCTCTGTGAGTTCGGGGCCAGCCTGGTCTACAAGAACTAGTTCCAGGACAGGCTCCAAAGCTACAGAGAAACCCTGTCTCAAGAAAGAGAGAGGGAGAGGGAGAGATAGAGAGAAAAGAATAGTAGAATGCAATAAAAATGTTATAAAGCAGTCTTTTTGAGATTTATTTATTTTATTAAGTATACAGTGTTCTGTCTGCATGTACACTGCATACCAGAAGAGGTCACCAGATCTCATTACGGACAGACGGTTATGAGCCACTGTATGATTGCTGGGAATTGAACTCAGGTCCTCTGGAAGAACAGCCAGTACTCTTAACCGTTGAGCCATCTCTCCAGCCCCTATAAAGCAATCTTTTTCATTGGAGAGAGAAAGTTTGTCTAATCATGTGCCCCAGACTGATCTTGAATTTTCACTGTTCTTGTTTCAGCAGCCCAAGTGCTGGGATGACAGGTGCCACCATCACGCCTTCTGTTGCAAAGGTTTTAAATTAGATTTTGTTGGTTAGTTGGTTGATTGGTTGGTTTTTGAGACAGAGTTTCTCTGTGTAACTATGGCTGTCCCCTGGAACTTGCTCCGTAGACCAGGTTGGCCTGGAATTCACAGAGATCCATCTGCCTCTGCCTCCCGAGTGCTGAGATTAAAGGCGTGTGCCACCACCTAGCTATTGGTTGGTTTTCAAGACAGGATTTCTCTTTGTAACCCTGGATGTCTTAGAACTTGCTCAGTAGACCAGGTTGGCCTGGAACTTACAGAGATCTGCCTGTTTCTGTCTCCCATGTGCTAGGGCTAAAGGCATGTGTTCCTACTTCTGATTTAATTTAGTATTTTTAATTTACTTTTAAATCTTTAGATTAAGATGTTAATCATTTTATCTAGGAGTGGAAAATAAAAATTGTTTCGTTTGAAATCAACTTAGGAAATTATGAAACTGTAGCCATCTTTAACCCTTCTTTTTATAAACTCCCACAGAAGGCATCATGCTTAGGGTGTATGCTAACAAACCAAATATGGAGTCATGAATTTTAAATACTCCTCTAGCGCATAAAAGTCTTCTGTTTTATTTAAAATGGTTGATCAATATGTTTAATATGAAGGTAGTTTCTTTGTCAATTCCTTGTCTTTAGGAAAAGGTTGTTTTGTTTTAATTTCCTCTGACAAGTATTTGTTTATAACAGTTATCTCAAAGAGGATAACTGAGTCATTCTTTCATCCAACCTCAGATATTTAATTTGCATAAAATGAGAACATTGCCCATAGTCATTTTTAATCTGTTTTACTTTTTTTTTTCCAGAGTAAAGTTGGATATTTATTTAGTTATGAAGGGGGAAAGGGAGAAGGGAGAAGGGGGGGGGAGAGGGAAACAGACAGACAGAAGGGGGAGGAGAGGAGCCATGACAGCAGCTACCTCTTTGGCAGAGAGATGGAAAAGGAAGGCCAGTTTTACTCTTGAAAAGACAACCAGAATCTGGCTTGATGATAGATGATACATGCCTGCAATCTCAGCACTAAGGTGGTAGAGCAGGAGGCTCAAGTGTCTTGGAGATCATTATATGTAGTGAATTTGAGGCCAGCCTGAGTTACAGAACATCCTGTCATAAACAAAAGACTCACTCCACCCACTTACCCCCTAAAAGCAAAAGAACTAGAACAAAGAAACAAGAGGTAATAGGAGGAAAAAAGACAGTAGTGTACCCTGATCTTTCTGTCTCTCGTGCTTTACTTTTTCATTTTGTTGACATTTTGCTTTACCTGGTGTAATGTTGTTATGATTTACTGTTTAGGGGATGAGTGTTTGTTTGTTTGTTTGTTTTAAAGCTGGTAGTAAATTGCTAAAAAAGTTGTTATTAGCAGTTAAGAGCACTGGCTGCTCTTTCAGAGGATCAAGTTCAATTTCAACACCCACATGGTAGCTCATAACCATCTGTAACTCCAGTCCCAGAGATGATCTGATGCCCTTTTTTTGCCTCTGTGGGCACCAGGCACACATGTAGTACATAGACACACATGTAGGCAAAACATCCATACACATTAAGAAAGAAAATAAATTTGATTGCATGTGCCCCTCAACACATAGTTATTTAAAGATGTTTTAAGTCACAGAGCTTGACAGAAGTGAATGTGATTGTCAAGGATCATACCATCTAAGTAGTTAGGAAAAAATTCCCAGTAATTATCTTGTAACTGTAGTCAGAAGTAGGGGATAGAAATTAAGTATTGGTATTAATTTTTTTTAAAAAAAAATCAGACCTGTTACACAGAGAAACCCTGTTTCAAAAAAAATTATTCTGATATGTAGCCAGGATGAATCATTAATCAAGAAAGGATTGTTTAGGGGCTGGAGGGATAGCTCAGCAGTTAAGGGCACTGGCTGCTCTTATAGAGGACCCAGGCAGGTTTGATTCCCCAAACCATTTTACAACTCACAACTGTTTGTAACTTCAGTTCCAGGGGGTTCAACAGCTTTTTCTGGCCTCCAAGGGTCACACTGCATGCATGTGGTGCACAAACATATATTATGCAGGCAAGACACTCACGTAAAATAAAATAATAAGTCTTTAAAGGAGCATACTTCACTTGCATAGATCCTGGGTCCAGTGCCCAGGACTTACCTCAGGTGCTTCATAATCACCTGTAACTCCAGCTCCAGAAGGGCTGTGTGAGGGCTGCAATCACACGTATATACACACAGTTAAAAATAAAGGGATGAGAATATGGTTATGGTAAAATCTTTTCTTTGGTGCTAGCATATTGCACAGAATAAAGCTAGTTAAGGAATGGGATTTAAGTGAAGCTTAGCTATTAGTTGATACTTCCCTTTTTAGTTTTACTAGACACTTGGAAAGTTTCTCAAGTCAGCTTTTGTGATGTGCTTTATTGAAATAAAGGGCTTGACTTGAATGTCAGTTATTATTTTACTTAAAGGCAGTTTTTTTCAAAGCTTAAGCAATTACCTTTTTACCAGATCTGATCAAATGCATGTACACATGCACACACCTCACTTCCCTTTACTCATGCTGCTTTTGAAATTAAAAGTGAAATTGATCATTTTAAGTTACTTAGCATCCTTGCAGTCTAAATATTAACCAACTTTAAGGCATTTGTTATGTTTTGTTGTTGTTAATGCTTGAGATGGCCTCACTATGCATGCTAGTCTAGCCTCAAATTCAGAATTCCTTTAATTGACCTTCCCAAATGTTGGGATTACAGGTGCATGCTACCACACCTGGCCAGTGCTTGTTGTTAATCTTCTAATAAATAGTATGAATGCAAAAGATAAATGTTATGATTTTTTTAAAATTATTTTATGTATATCGGTTTTTTTATGTATATGCATTTATATCTGTATACAATGTATACGCCCGTTGTCTAAGGAAGCCAGGATCCCCTGGAACTGGAGTTACAGCCATCTGTGAGCCTTGTGTGAGTCCTAGGAATAGAACCTGGGTCCTTTTGAAAACCAGCCAGTGCTCTCACTTTTGAACCATCTCTTCAGCCTCTTCAAATATTACTCTTTTTTTTTTCAAAGAATGTATTTCATTTTTACTTATGTGTATTTGCATGTATAAGAAATATTTTCAATCCTTTTTTATTTTTTCTTTAAGTTTTATTTTTATGTATATTGGTATTTTACCTGCATATATGTCTATGTGAAGGCACCATATCCCGTGGAACTGGAGTTACGTACGGACAGTTGTAAGCTGCCATGTGGGTGCTGGGAATTGAACCCAGGTCCTCAAGAAAAACAGCCAATGCTCTTAATCACTGAGCCATGCTCCCAGCCCTCAAATATTACTCTTAAACACTAAAACATTTTTATGTTTAGCCTTCGGTTGTAAGTGTGAATCTCATCTGTTTTAGTTGTGTTGTTTTCTTTTTTTAAGATTTATTTATTATGTATACAACATTCTGCCTCCATGTCTGCCCGCACGCCAGAAGAGGGCGACAGATCTCATTACAGATGGTTGTGAGCCACCATGTGGTTGCTGGGAATTGAATTCAGAACCTCTGGAAGAGCATCTCTCCAGCCCTGTTTGTTTTTTTTTGTTTTGTTTTTTTTTTTTTTGTTTTTTTTGTTTGTTTTTTTTTTTGTTTTTTTCGAGACAGGGTTTCTCTGTGGCTTTGGAGCCTGTCCTGGAACTAGCTCTTGTAGACCAGGCTGGTCTCGAACTCACAGAGATCTGCCTGCCTCTGCCTCCCGAGTGCTGGGATTAAAGGCGTGCGCCACCACAGCCCCGCACCTGTTTTCTTTTTTATAATGTATTCTAGGATGGTATAAATGCAAGATACATGGCCAACTTTGTTCTAATTTTTTTTCATTTATTGGAAAACATGAAGTTTTAGTTTATTATGTATAGTAGAAAAGCACTTTGGTCTTCTGCCATATGTAAAGGTAAAGAGAAGTAACCTAATGTTAGCTGTGCTAGGATACAAACTGGTATGGGTTCTACCTCATCTAGTGAGAATGTACCATTGCATTACACAATTGAATTCTACATTGCCACCTAGAGAATGGAGACACATGGTCTCCAGGTTTCACATGGTTTCCCTTCTCTCTCTTCCCTTCTCCATGTTTTCCCAGGGCTACCTTGGAACACTCCATGAAACATGGGCATCTTTTAATTAGGTCTGATTTGGTTTGATTAGAATTATTTGCATCAGTGGAGAGGTTTGGCGTTTTAAGATTATACTTAGCAATTAGGAATTTGACTTCTAGGGATTATGGCATCTGCTTGGCTCTAAGGACGTAATAGACCCCTTCCAAGTTCAAGTACATTCAGACAAAGGTCACCTGTTGCTGAACAGGAGTATTTAGTTACCTCTTTCTATTAGTTTCTTCTGCTGCTGTTGTTTTATTTGCTTTTTTAAACAATAAGCAGTGTGAAACAGAAATGAAGTTTTAGGTAACTTCAGCAGACATATATTTTCCTTTCTGGTTTTTTTGATGCTAAACTACACGTCAGATTTTTTCATCAGACATCTGAACAAACAATTGGTTTTAAATACCACCACCAGCCAACTTTCTTTTCAACCCAGCCTTCCTCATTGCTGATTTGCATTTCCCTTTCCTAACGCGTGGTCTAGTTGAGTTTTTCAGTTCCTTCTTCATGCTTCCTTTCCCTGGTAGCTGGGAGTACACCAGTAGATTGCATCAGGAGCTTGGAGCCTGTGAGCTCTTTTGCTCTTTTCCAAGTGTCCGATTCCGCAGTCCAGAGCCCACTGCTTGCCAGAAAGTCACCATTGCTCCGAGGCTGGCGCTTGCCTACTTGTTTTGACCTTCTGAGAGATGATACTTTGTTTGCCAGAACAACAGTTGATAGAAATAGAAGAGTACAGATAAGAAAAAGTACAGCAATTACAATTAAGCAAATAAGCATGGCCATGTTGCTGTTGTTTTTCTCACAGACTTCCTTTTTAAAAGTTTCCCCATGACTTTTGCTTGTGCTTTCAATGATCTCTGCTGTTGGAGAACTGTTTCTGAAGACGTGGGGCCCGGAGGACTTCGATGTAGATGTCTGGGCTAAAGACACAGCTGGAGATGATGCAAGTATGCCTGTGGAGCTCACTCTGTGATCCACTGTAGGGCTGACCGGGTCTGTGCTCCTCTCACTTTGATGTCTGCTCGTGCTGTTTTCATTACCAGAGCCCCAAGCAGTGACATTGTCAGCCAACAGATGTTTATAGTTTGCTTTTGTTCCTGGAGGCAAGGTACACACTGTTGTCATCAGGAAAAGGAGACGCAGGTACCGTCCTGTATGCTCCATGCCCACTGGTATACTGTTATCTGTTAAGACAGCAATATCAATCAGTAGTTTGTGAGTTTGTGGAAGAATAGCACAGAATAATTGTAGTTATGGGACTGCATTTGAGACAGCGCAAGGAAATTAGAAATCCATGCCTACTATTTGCTATTGGACCCTTCCCAACTGAAGTTTTTTTTTTTATTTTTAACTGAATTTCTATCCCTGCTCTTAGGTTATATATAAACATTTTAATTTTGTTGTACATTTTGATGCTGTAATTTAGCATTTACAAATATCTCTTAGCCATTTTTAACTGTGTATCATAGCTTTACATATCTTCCTATTAAGGACACATCATAGACCTCAGCTTGGAGTGAGCTGCTTTTGCTTCTGTGCTTGTGATTCCTCATTTAAGGCTCTTTTTTACTGAAGCATCCACCCTCTGAGTTGCACGTCCTCATCTTGAAGTAAAGGAGAACTTAGCCTTGAAAGTTTTGTTTCAAGTATAAAAAGAAATTACAAGTGACTTTTTGTGGGAGAGGAGAGTGGATTTTGGTAGAGATTGAAAGCAAGATTGTACATCAAGTAGGAATTTAAAGTGTTGTTTGGTCTTTCCAGTTGTGACATTAGAATCTAGTCCTAGCTTTTGTGACTGAAGCTTTGTGTGCTTATTCCACCTCTATTGCTTTAGTTGACAGTGACTTTCCAAATAGCAGAGGCAGGATTGTTCTCTCAATCTAGAAATCAGGAAGAACAAAACATTTTTTCAGGCTGGGCGGTGGTGGCACACACCTTTAATCCCAGCACTTGGGAGGCAGAGACAGGCAGATCTCTATGAGTTCGAGGCCAGCCTGTTCTACAAGAGCTAGCTAGTTCCAGAACAGACTCCAAAACTACAGTGAAACCCCATCTCGAAAACCAAAAAAAAAAAAAAAAGATTTCTAGATTTCTTCTGTACTTAAAAGTCCTACAAATGGCAGCCACCTTTGTTGTCATTTTATTTTATTTTATTTTGATTTTTTTGATTTTTCGAGACAGGGTTTCTCTGTCGCTTTGGAGTCTTCCCTGGAACTAGCTCTTGTAGACCAGGCTGGCCTCAAACTCACAAAGATCCACCTGCCTCTGCCTCCTGAGTGCTGGGATTAAAGGCGTGTGCCACAACTGCCCAGCTGTTGTCATTTTATAACTTGCATTCTTCCCCCACCTCATTTTAACACAAATCTACAAAAAAAAATTATAAAGAAAAATTTTAAAAAATTGGTTATCAGACTTTTGGGTTCTTAGAATACAGTGGTTGTGAGTGTAAGCAACTCTTAACGTTAGAAGGTTGAGATTCAACAGTGAAAATGCATTCATGTAGTAGTTCATGTCCAGCACTCACCTCAACCCTCCACCCCCCAAAAATTGAAATTTAGTTTTGGACTCAGGTTTCTAGAAACCAGTACATAAAAAGACAAAAAGTCTGTTCTTAGTTCCTGTTATTGGCCGTCTGCTTAGAGATCTTGCTAGGGTTGTCATTGTCTGCCTTAGGTAGAGCTAACCTAGCAAGAGACATTTGGCACCTTTAGTGAACTGAATTGTTTCTCTGCTTTAAGAGATTAGCCTGCCTCTGCCTCCTGGGTCCTTGGATCACGTGTGCATGTGTGACCAGGGCTGAAGGCATTCATGTGTGCGTGTGTGCATGTGTGACCAGGTTCGGCTGAGGTGCTTCTTGTGCTATGAGAGTTCTCCAGAGCAACTTTTGAGATAGTATTTTATTCAGAGCATAAATGAGGAGACTTAGATCAAACACTAGATTGTTCTAAGAATGAATGGGTTGTCTTGTTAAGCACCCTGTGTGTTTTATAGATGTTGTTTTCAAACTGGAATATATGAGGGAGTCTTTTTTTCAGGTCTAGGGTAGGGTGTGAGATTCTGTCTCTAAACCACTCCAAGTGGCACTCTGGCAGTTATAGTGGAGCAGGGTGATTTTCTATGGTGGAACAGGGTGGTTTTCTATGGGACACTATATGCCACTAGACAGTATCTGAATGCTAGTGAACAGAAATTGAGACTAACAGGTGTGTTAAGTTGCACAGACAAAAATAACATATTGTAAATGATGCTAACTGTAAACTAACTCTGAGTGGAGAGGGAGAAAAAACCAGCAAAATTTTTATCTAATGTTCTGGGATCCAGATCATTATCAGGATTATGACTATTGGTAGACACTTCAAGATACAGTGCTCTGACTTTCTGACTGAAGCATTCAGCTTCAGTCTTAAAGTTGAATGATAGGATTCTCTTGATACTTTATGAGTTGTTCACAAAAAGAAGCACTTTTAATTGGGTTATTAAGAAATGCCCATCATTTTCTGCCAGAGTAGATTCATGCATTCAATGTTAAAATGACTTACAGTATGTTATTCAAATCACATTAGTTCATTCACAGTGCAGTATGCATCACTGTATCTACATGCTAGCAGTGCACCACGGGACACATAATAGGCCTGCTGTTGATTGTCTTCAGCCAGATGTGCTGCCATGCCCCAGTAAACAAGCTGCTGACAAAATGAGACTTTCTCTTATGCTCACAAATGCCTGAGAACTGAGGACTATTCCTACATCTGTTTTATGCCCTAGAGACCAGGTTGGGTTAGCAAGGTTTTGGCTTTCTGGTTTTGTTTTTGTCTCATCATTTTTAGTCACATTTATAATGCCTAAAGTCTAGTAATGAGAAATATATTTCCCTAATTAAAAGACAAATGAAACTTTTCAACTCATTTGAGTCCTCATTCTGGTTTAAAACTTCATATTAATAATTATAAATTCTCCTAGCTCTAATTGCTTATGCTATTTACATAATTTTCCATAATAGGATAGAAAAACAACAATTCTGCTTTGTAGATCTATGCATCTTAAAAAAAAAACACTTCCTCAATACTAATCTGAACAGAGTTATGAGAGAAAAGGAATGAGAAAAGCCACGTGTATGACCTACCTTACAAATGCTCTGCCACGCTCTTTATTTAATCAACCACTTCTTTTCTTCTTTTCTTACTTAAAGTAGAACAGTTTGAAGACTACAAAACTGAAATCTGCAGTTTTTTAGGAGGATGCGTACAGCTAGTTTTCCACTTTTCAAACCAAACCACAGATGACACATTTCCTTTCCGCTGCGACTCAACACACGTCACGTGGAAGGCAGAAGCTCCAACTGCTCTAGCTGGCTCTGGGGTGACAAGAAGCTTTGTAGAGCAATCTCCACCCCCAGAATGGGGAGGGCTTTCCACTTTGTTTCTTTTGACCTCTTTTGGCTGATTGCTTTTGCCTGCTATTTGCTTTTGAAATTAGTATTATTCGGTGGAAATTATGTGAAGACATCAAGGCATTGGAATCATTTTTAGACTTTTATTTTGTGCCACAGACAGATTTTAAAACATAAATGTGGAGTCCTTGTAGGTATTTGTCAGATAGGAGAACCAGTCACACATATAACTGGCATTTCAAACTGGAAACTGCAACAGTGATTTGAACTCGAGGATGCTTGCAGGGTGTGGTATGTGCACAGGTCCTGGCATCACCTTCGATTAGACATGTCTAGAATAGATTTACACTGTCTTCTGTGGTAACAGCTTTGTGGCTCTGTAGATGTTAGCAGAGACCTGGATTATACCAGATCCTCTCCATTCATATCACACTTTAGATCCTTTCATAGTCTTGGATTTACTTCTAATTTTACTTCCACTATAGTGATGTACCTAGACTATTAAACATCTGTACTAGCCCTAGGTATTCCATGTATCTTGGATAGAACTCTATAATCATATCCCTCTTTTTTTAATGAGCACCACACTAATGAACTGAACTAATTGTCCATGTCCTCATTTTTTAAAAAACAAACAAAAAACTTTGAATTTACATAATTTAAAATTTTAATTATATTTATGAGTGTTGCTAGGGACTGATTTCAGTATCTTTTGCCTGCCAGACAGGCATTTTTTTAAAATATTTATTTAGTATACAATATTCTGTCTGTGTGTATGTCTGCAGGCCAGAAGAGGGCACCAGACCTCATTCCAGATGGTTGTGAGCCACCATGTGGTTGCCAGGAATTGAACTCAGGACCTCTGTAAGAGCAGGCAATGCTCTTAACCGCTGAGCCATCTCTCAGGCCCCCAGACAGAATTTATAGCAAAGTTCTATCCCTAACCCTCTTTGTTTATTTTACATTTTTTATTTATTGTTACTATGTATATATGTACTTGACATTGAGTCTGGACATGGGAGAGACTGCATGTGTGTGCCATGGCATGACTGTAGAGATCAGGGGACAAGTACATGGAATCACCTCCCTCCTTTTACCTTTATTTGGTTCTGAGGTCACCAGGTTTGCATGGTAAGCATCTTTACCTACTGGGCCAGCCCTCTGACTTCCTCTCCTTTTTATTTTGAGTTAGAGTTTCATTAAGTTGCCTGTAGCATGACTATTGAAAACCCAGAGTCAGATATAAGGGTTAAAGCTGAAGATCAGAGAAGCAGAGCAGTCAGCCTCTAGCGAGACCTTTACCTCTACCAATGCTCAGACTGAAAGGGCCATCCTCAGACTGCCTAGACTGTATTGTGTGTCTCCACCAAACCTCAGTCTCCACATTCTAGTGAGTTCCTGTCTCTTCCCTTTATATTCCTCTCTCTGCCCAGCCATATCTACCACTCCTTGGCCTCTAGTGGCTTAGCTTTGCATTCTGATCCTCAGGCAAGCTTTATTTATTAAAATAATTATCACTACAGTTGCCCGTGATGACTTTGAAGATTTTTTGTTGATTTGTTTTCTGAAACAGGTTCTCATGTAATCAAAGCTGGCCTAGAGTTCACTATGTAGCTGAGGATGACCTTGCCTTTATGATCATCCTCCCTTCCTCCCAATGTGCTAGGGTTGCAGGCTTGTAGCATACATGCAAATGCCAACGATTGAACCCAAGCCTTCATATATTCACTAGGCAAGTACTCTACTAACTGAGCAAAACCCAGCCTCCTTGTTTCTTACTAAAAGTTGAAAAAGTTGCCCATAGTGATTCCACAATACTTATGTAAGATGGGAAAGTTGTTTAAAACAACAAAAATGCCACGCTCCCTATGTATATTCATGTTTAGTAGGCCTATGCTGGGATCAGCCATTTTATTTTTATTTAGCAAGCTGGACAGCTGGCTCTGACACTGAACATCCACAAAACATAACTTGAGAAATGCACAATGCCCAGACAAAGACTGAGCCTTTGATGGCCTTCATAGTTTTAGCATCACTTATTACCCACCTGCATCTCTCAGAACTTAGCTGTGTAGACCTAATGCTGTAGTACAACGTAGCTACCTCTCATCAATCCCTGGCTTTTCTTGTTGAATTCAGACTTCCTTCTCCCAGATTCCACCACTGAATCTTCAGTGTATCTACATGGCTTTCACTCAGCTCGCCAATTCATGTTGGTCTCTCCTCCTTTTAAACTTCTTGCTTTTTTTCCTCTCTGTTGTCCGTCTAGTGAGTAATGTAGGACATACATGCAGGCTGAACATCCCTTGTCCAAACTGCTTATGTCCAGACAGGTGTGCAGTTTTAGTTTTCCTTTGGATTTTGCAACATTTATGTTTACATATACATACAATGAAGTTTTGAATGGACGGTGGTGAATACAAAACACAGAACTCATTTGTTTCATATATACCTCCTGCATGTGTAACTGAAGCAGACTTACACTGTTAGTGTATCTAAGAGTTTCAGGTTTGTGTTTCCTATCCTGGCATCCTGAGCCACTCAAAGTTTCTTTCAGAGTAGGAATGCCCAACTTGTGTATTTTCTTTTTCTTTTACTATCTTAAAATATTCCTTTCATCTTAAAAATATTTCAACTTGTCATTTTATTCTTTCACAACAGTATTAAAATTTCTTACACAAAGATATTTATCATGTCTCAGAGACAATCAAGACATGAGAACAGTAGGCCTGAGTTAATATAGGTGTTTGGATTAGAGTCAAGCACCACATTCTTCAGAGCTTCCTTTCTGTGCCTACTTGTGTTGATTAATGTTCTTTCAGTCCTAAGCAATGTATGACTGTGGGACACCAAGGAAGCCCCGAGTGAATATGTAGTGACCAAATGAAGTCCTAAGTGAATGAGTAATGTTGTTTGAATCCATGTGAATGGCAAAGCCTCTCCTCTCCCCCACTCCCCTCCCTACACACATAGACCCGTGTTAAAGCTCAGAAGGATGTAAAGCCTTCCTCTGGTCCCTGAGGATGTTGGCAGTGTATGCAAAAATAAGTATTTACCAATAATTGGCCAGTGTGTGCCAAAACTAGCAACTGCCTCTCTCTTCTCCCTGATCTGTAAAGCCCAAGACTGCTCACCTACAGAGGCCTCCTACCAAGACTGATTAACCTAGGCTGTACCTAATAAACTTCCTGAGAATTCTGGGTTGTTTCTGTCGTTGGTGTAAGTCCATCAGAGCATGCATAGCCCACCTGATCCCAGCTTTTCTGTACGTGCATCTGTGTCAGTCCTTTATTCATTCCCTCACTGCCCCAGCCAGTTTTCCATAACCCAAGCCAAGTGGACGTGGTATATGACCTAATGTGGTTTTATCAAACCATGGAACTTACTAGCTTACACAGTCTGGGGGAAAACCTAACCATAGGAGAGATTTTTATCTATGACTCAGATTATGGCCAAGACCCCAGACCGTCTTTTCATTTCTCAACTCCTCTCAGGTTTTGAGGCATGCTTTTCCATCATATCCTAAGATGAGTTAACAATTCCCAGGACTGTATATTTTCTTAATTACAAACACGGGGGAAGGCTCTCCAACCCAGACAATCTAAACTAACCTGTGAATTGGACCTCTTGACTTTACTGTCCTGACTTGAGTCTTGGTGTTCAAGGTCAGATAAATGGGCTGACTAAAACTTCTGGGCACCTTTTTCAGCCAGCGGCTTCTCTGAGAAATACGATGCACCCAGGTGCCTTCTCCCTGTCCGCTGTCTTCCTTCTTTCTTGGTGGGCAGATTTGTTGTTATTTTCAAAATTCTTAAGGCAGTTTGTTCCTTCTCTCTTTAGCCTTATTGACCACACTATCTAAGAAATATAAGCATAAATCTACACTTCGAATAATTGTTTTATATCATTGTCCTCTTTAAAAAATTAATCAGGCCAGAGAGATGGCTCAGCTGTGAAAGGCTAGCCTCACAACCAAAAATACAAGAAAATTAATCATAAAATTTTTAAAAGGGGCCCGCGAGATGGCTCAGCAGGTAAAGATGTTTTCATTGCAAGCCTGACAACCAGAGTGCAATTTCCAGAACATACATGGTAGAGAGAGGGGAACCGACTCTGACCTCCACAGGTGTCTAATTGTTCTTAAGAATAAAAACTCGAAGTCAGCTATCGGGTGAAAACTGAAGGATCAGAGAAGCAAGCAGCCAGCTAGCCACTAGAGAGTTCTTACCTTTACCAATGCTCAGACCAAAGGGATTATCCTGTCTCTACAAAACCTCAGACTGCATCTGCCTCCACAAATCCTCAGCCTGAATCCTCAGACTGCATCAGATTGCATCTCAAACTGAATCTCGGACTGCATCTGAGCTCCTGTTTCCTCCCATTTTGTATTCCTATCTCTGCCAAGCCATATCCCTCCTATCTCCATATCCCTAGTGCTGGGATTAAAGGCCTATGATCCCAGGTGCTGGGATCACCTTTGAGCTCTGTTTCTCTTTTAGACACATTCAAGGCCCTGAGTGGCCTTGAACTCACAGAAATCCGTCTACCTCTGTCTATTGAGAACTAGGATTAAAGGTGTGTGCCACAACTGCCTAGCTTCTCTGGCTGACTCATAGCTCTGCACTCTGATCTTCAGGCAAGCTTTACTTGTTAGATTACAAATAAAATATCACTACAGTCTTCTGGCCTCCACATGCATGCATGTGCTCATACATGCATGCATGCATAATTAATAAAAGTGAAACAAAAGAAAAGAGATTTATATTCCATATATTCAGAAATCTTAACAATGTTTATCCTTTTTGTTGCCTTCCTTAGGTTCAAAACTGGCCAAATCAATGGTGATTTGCTGATATACCATGTCTTGCTGACTTTAAAGCCATATTATGCAAAGCCATATGAAATTGTAGTGGACCT